GGTACATATACACAATGGACTATTACTCAGCCATTAAAAAGAATTCATTTGAATCAGTTCTAATGAGATGGATGAAACGGGAGCCCATTAAACAGAGTGAAGTAAGCCAGAAAGATAAACACCAATACAGTATACTAACACATATATATGGAATTTAAAAAGATGGTAACGATAACCCAATATGCAAAACAGAAAAAGAGACACAGATGTACAGAACAGACTTTGGGACTCAGTGGGAGAAGGCGAGGGTGGGATGTTTTGAGAGAACAGCATCGAAACATGTATACTATCAAGGGTGAAACAGATCGCCAGCCCAGGTTGGATGCATGAGACAAGTGCTCAGGGCTGGTGCACTGGGAAGACCCAGAGGGATGGGATGGGGAGGGAGGCGGGAGGGGAGTTCAGGATGGGGAACACATGTAAATCCATGGCTGATTCATGTCAATGTATGGCAAAAACCACTACGATATTGTAAAGTAATTAGCCTCCAACTAACAAAAATAAATGGAAAAAAAAAAAGCAGTGCTCATGGTTACCAGTGACCCAGTTAACCGGCAGAGCAGACAGGAAAATGAGGAATGAACGTTTAGAAGCAAGGCGTGGCACTTTTCTGTAACTGGGCTTTCCTTTCATTGTGGCAGATTCTGCATTAGATGGCAGGTATTGGAATACACCACAAGTCAGTGCCTCTGCTTTTCAGAAGTGGAGCCTGGGGCCAAGGGAGCGAAGCAGCCTTCCCAGGACCACAGAGACAACAGGCAGGACTGGGACCAGCGCCAGGATGACAGGTTCCTAAGCCAGGGCTCCTCCTAGGCCATATGACCTTTCACTGAAATGTCCCCTGTATACAGACAACAAAAGTTACTAGGTACCTTTTCCTCTTCTAATGGCTTAACATTTAGAAATGACATGGGACATGAAGTCAGAAACATGTATTAGTAATTCACAGAGTGACATATATTTAAGTAAACAGCCTACTTCGTTTCTACTATTCAGACTGGTATCAAAGCCATAAATAAGAATACTAACCTTCTAACTGTTCCCCGTAATTAACAAGTGAAATGAACTGTCTGCAGAAGACTGAGAAGACAGCAGGGTACAGGGGAGCCTGAGGAGAATGAGCAAAACCTGAGATTACCTCAGTTCTGCTTGTTTAAACCCTTCATGATTCCAAACTACCTCCAGGACAAAATCCAGACTCCTCTGAGTGGGCATGTCCAGCTCCCGGTCCCCAGGCCCCTCCAACAAAGGTGTTGGCACACCCTCCCGGAACTGCTCAGGGGTCCTATAGCTGGGGGAAAGTACCACTGCTGCCCTTCTACGTTTGAAAGCCTACCAGTTTAGCCATTCCCACCTCCATCCTAAGAAGTATCAGTTCCAGAATGTGCATTTCTGAGGTGTGGTTTAGTCTACTGACACAGCTGATGAGAAGCACCATGCATTATCACCCCTCACTCATTATCTCATGACTTTGTCCTGACAATTATTCTAGGAAACCCAGATGTGTTGTCTTCTCCAAATAAACAAGTAATACACTGAAGCCAGGGCTATACTATCCCACTAATTCAGACATTTATTTTAGGCTAAAGATCCGTTATGCAAGAAATGAAAGATTCTTTTTTTTCCTGATTAGGAAAGGAGACATGAATTGGGACAAATTTAAATAGCTGGGGAAAAAAAGTACAAGGAAAAAGACCAGAATGGTGGAGTTACTGAAGACGAAATGTATTTTATCATTTCTACAAAAAAGAAAGAAAAAAGAAAAATAAGATTATCTTGTAATAAACCTTAATGGAAAACAATGTGAAAGAGAATATAGACGCACACAACATACAGAAAGAGAAAGAGAGAAAAGGACATTGATTTCTTAAGATAGTTAGCAAGGAGAGAGCCATAGCATCCTTTCTGGCCTTGAATTATTTCAGGAACGACCCAGTCAATTACCAGTGCAGATACATGTGGAACTTGGCTCAGCTAATCAATGCAGACAAAAGGCCTGGCCCTCACTCATCTCCCCAGCACAGGCATTCGCAGGACTGCCTTTTCAATAAACTCTTCTCCTCATGCCAGCTGACGAGCTAAGTTTTCCAGTAAACCAACTTTCTGACTGAATCACCTCCATTTTTAATTTTTGTGTTTTGCACTTATTGTTTATAAAGATACACATGCAGTAGGCAGGCTAAATGCCCAAATATAATCAAACAGAAAGTTCAAAACTATGACCTAAAATCTTGCCATGAACCCGCACTCTGTGCAACCCTTTTTATTAGAAATGATGAAAGTATCCAGGGCAAGTCTTCCTTCATTGCTGTTATGCGGCCGGGGATGTTGAAGAGCCTGATAAACCGTAAGACCAGACCCGAGTCAGCTTTTCATTCTGATTCTGTCTTTGGTGAAAGATGGAGGAAAGCTGAAAAACCAACACAGGAGATTAAGAAGTTATGAAGAAACGTTAGATAAACTGCTATGTCCTGAGGACAGAGCCATGCCGTTTTTGTCTTATCACTTCCAAATGCTGTATCAAACACATGGGAGCCACAGATTTAGTAACGAAAGAGCAGGAGTTCTGAGGCAGGAAAGGCTAGCACATCAGACGTTGGAAATGATTCACGGGATTCTGCCAAACCCCTCCGAGGACTCTGACCCCTCCCCCAGCCCCCTCCACCTCGTGCCTGCCCCAGCGGATGGTGGAGAGCCACAGCTACGCGGCAGATGGGGCCCAACTGTAGCCCACAGGCCGCTGCAGGGGCCCAGCACAGAGGGAGCCGGCACAGTGCGCTGAGCACGGCCGCCCCGAGGAAGTCACGGCGCGTCTTCTCCCTAGCACCCCGGCTGCAGATTAAGTCACCAAATCCATTTTCACGTAATGACTCTAATAGCATCTGCAGCAGAAACCACAGATGAATGGAGGGAGATTTTCCTGCATTTTCATTTTCCCTAGAAATTTAACTCATTCCTACCTATGCCTGAACTTCAGCTACACAGCTCAAAATTCTTCTCTAAATATGAAACATGTGTTTTACCTCAAAAAGACGACCTCATATGAAACTACGTTCTTCCTGCAGGGAAGGAGAATGAGACAGCTAACTAGCACAAAGTCCTGCCCCTCCTGTGGGTAGGTCCTGCCAGCCCAACCGCTCAGGCATCACCACGTCCTCTGCCCCAAAGCCAGCATCCTGATTCATGACGATGGCATCTGCTGTTCCCAGCACGGACGCCACAGGGCTCACTGAGACTTGTTGATGACAGTCAGGACCAACCACATAGACACAAGCTTTCATGGGGAAGAATGGTGATCCCAGTGGTTACTGAGGAATCTTATTCTACTCTTAGCTGTTCATGCATTCATTCTGATCTCTCCCATTCTGTATATCTAGCTTTTAGGGGAAGAATACATTGGACATGATAGTAGAAATTGTTTATTTGAAATTGGAAGGACCCTCTCAAACTACATGGCCACCAGTAGAATTAACAGATAAGATTCTTACATTTCCCATGAAAAAGCTATGTTCTTGCTCCAGTCTCCACACAACTGTGGGACACAGAAGAGCTCATCTCAGCCACAGACATCTTCATTGGAGGTTGAGAAAGGACCCAGACCCTACCACTTCGAGGCCTATATGTACTCTCATTTACTTTCACGAGAACAGGTTAAGTTTGCCTTCATAATACAAAGCTTTCTCAAGTCCCAAGACAGACAAGATCTGCAGTGTTCTGGAGTCAATAAGCCTATCAAAAGAAGGGATTAGTAAGCTGCAAAATTTGCTAGTTGCAGCTAGAAAGCAGCATGTCTATGTGTCGTTACTAAAAGTGATTAAGTTAGATCAGGAGTAAGTGACAAATGATGTATGTTTAAAATACCCCATTGTAAAAGATAAACACTTTTCCCCCAAAAGGAAAAAGATGAGCTTAAAGGAGTCTGTGCTTATGTAGACACATAGAATAAAATTATTTAAAAACAGGTTTAAAAGACATACAGTCTCTTATATGCTTTGATGAAATTTGTGGGGTGCCACCAACAAAATAGTTTCTCTAAAATGGAGCCTGAATCTGATGGAGCCTCTAGAGTTACAAACTGACCTACAGGAGTACCAAGGCAGAAAGTAGACAGCTCACCATCTGCTGGGAGGTGGGAAAACCAAGTAAGTAATATCTTGCAAGTTGCAAAATTTTGACAGAGAAACAATTCAGCTGTTTCATCAAATAAACTGCAAAGGAAGAAGAAGAGGTGACAGAGGAAAGTTGTGAATTAAAGGCACTTCACTAAATGCAACACAGCGGCCTTATGAGGATCCCAATCGGAACAAACATGTGACACATTTTTCTAAATGAGGGAACTAAGGGAAACCTGGGCACTGGCTTGATGTCTGATGACACCAAGGAATCTACCTTTTACTTTTTTAAGGTGAGTATGGTATTGTGCTGATTTTTTAAAATAGTTCTTTCTTTTAAAGCTACTGAAATATTTATGAATGAAATGACACAATGTCTAGGTATTTGCTACATAATTATTAAAAAAGGAGAAAGAAAACGCCACTGTGTTGTCCAGCATTAACATAGGAAGGTAAATTGAAAGTATTTCTATCAAATATTGTTTAAATTTCAATTTCCTGGACAAAAAGTGGCAAGCCTTCTCAAGAACCAGCGTTCAGCACTTGAGGGCAAGTGACCTCGACTATACACGCCCAGGGAGTGCACACACATAGGTGCTGCCACACACACACACATGTACACGTACAGAGCATATGTGTGTGCACACATACATACAAGAGGCAAGACTACTGTGTGCGCACAGGAATGCATGCCACAAAATGCAAGGAATCAGAATGGGCAATGCCTTTATTCTTTTTCAAGCCACAGGGAGCTGAGCAGATCAGGTGGGATCACAACATTTCCGTGTAGGGGAGAGGCAAGCATAAATCAGTGGAAAGTTGTTTTTAGGCAAGAAAGACAAGTAAGTTGCCTGCAGGGGAGGATATAACACTATGAATGCATGTTACCTGTCCCAGTTCCTGGGTGTCTTCCTCAGAAATGACTGGCTCGCTTGTCTGTAGCTGAAGTGGCCTCCCTTCCTGGCTCCCTGAGGAGGACTCACAGTGCATGGCTTGGTCCATCAGTCCAGATGCTGAAATACAAAGTCAGAGTGGTATCTTTCAGAAGGTGTGAACAACACAAGCGCATTCAGAATTTTAGAAAAAGTGGTGTTTAAGACCATCAGAGCTCTTTTTTGACAGAGTGTTTTCACAGTCTTCTATGGGTATAGAGCCTCTGGGCTTGCCGGAGCAGTAAGTGTGGTGAACTCACTTGGCTGAGCCTCTGCTTAGGTGACTGAATGTGGAAGCTGCCTGAGCCTTGCCTTCAATCCCAACCCAGAGCTGCTTCCTTACCTGATACTGATCCGAGTGTACAACATGGTAAATACTCGGGATCTTGTTCTATAACTGGCTTTGAGAAGAAAGATCTTTTATCCAGGAGTGGATGTTATTTAGTCACTAAATTGTGTCCAACCCTTTTGTGACCCCATGGACCAGGTAGCCCACCAGGCTCCTCTGTCCATGGGATTTCCCAGGCAAGAACACTGGAGTGGGTTGACATTTCCTTCTCCGGTTTATTAATCCTGGTCTAAGAACCAGCATCTGGATTCCAGGACCAACTCCTTTGAGCAGCAAAGAAGGCAGAGATGCGACACACCACTCCGTTCCGAGGACCCTCAGGGCAGTAAGCAGCGCTGCCTTCTGGCAGAGTGGCCTAGAGCAGCTGATAAGTGCATTGTTAGGAAAGGAAATTCATCTTGGGGTCAAGTTCGTGCTGGGCCTGAAGAATAGGAATACAGCTGGTAACACCAGGGTATGCTAATTGCACAAGTCCCTCCTCCCAGGGGAGAGAACAGCACCTCTGACAGGTACACAAATATCCCCTTATTCTTATCTGTTAAATAATTTCTTACAAACTAACACTCTCTGAAATTCCCTAACTGAGCAGAGAAGACATGAGGATGAGAGCATGTTTCTTGAGATACCAGAGAGGAAGTCTAGGTCAGATAGAGTGAGCTCAGGCACCAGCTGATGCAAAGCAAAACCTGCATGAAGGCAAGGGCAGGGGTTCCACACTGCAGACCTGAGCACTCCCCAGAGCCGTCTCCTCTGGGAAGGAGGGCCTATGAGAGACTGCCCGCCTTTTAACTATGCACACCTGTGAGAACTGCAACGTGCACAGCACTGCTACACACAGCACTGCTACACCGTCACATATACCTGGGGAGTCTGAAGGGGTTTCACAGCACGGAAACCAAGGTATACACCATGCACTCCGCTGTGCTTTTCTGTTCTTTATATGAAAGCTGCTTCCAATCAACCAAATTGATCTCACAACCCGAGTTCTACGATCTCCAAGGTGCCACTACTCCATCATCCTAAGGGCTTACTGAGAACTTTCCATAGCCTACAACTCACTGTTGGTTGGTCTTACAAGACCTAAATGTCACTAAGATGTTACCTAATAAAAAGCATTTTTCTAACACATTAGCAACAGAACACCATCAGAGCTAAGCTGGACAACAGAGGACGTGTTCTACTAATTATCATCAGCCTAAAGGAAAAGCTAACTAACGTACACGACCTTAAAATGTTACCAGTGGTAACACGATGGCCAAGTGTACTTCTTTTGTCTATGTTACCAGTGGTTCTCTGGCCTAATGGGTGAAGGTGAACACCTCAGTCAGCCTATACCCTTCTCCCCAGTCTGCTGCCTGACCCTGCAGAGCCCTGTTCCTGCCACCCTACCCCCTGCCCACCACGCACCCCACTGCACGTCATGCAGACAGATGTACCCTAGCCCACGTCTGCAGACGTGTTCTCCACTCAGCCCTTTCATCACAGCAATCGTCCCGCCTCTGTCCTGGTACCATTCAGCTTATGCAGTGACAGTGACTTGCTTGGCACTGCGCTGCTACTCCTCTCAGCATCTCTGGGAACGAGGGTCTCCCCGGCCAGCTTCCCTGGGAGCGAGGCCCACGTCTAGTCCACACTTGTGCACTGTGCCCAGCGCTGGGCTCCCTCACTGTTACTATGGTTTCCATCTCAACAGCTACAGCTGTATGACAGCCAGAAACACACCATTTTTAAATCTTTAACAAACAGGACTGAACAACCAGAAAGTCACTACCGAGGACTTTTCTTCCTGGAATATGCTAATCAGAGATGTTTCTCACAATGACCTGTGGCATCACCAGGGTCCTGCCTGGTACAAAACTCGGCCACCCTTAGAACTGTGTGCTGAGACCTGGGGTGCTGACTCGGTTACTTTAATGCTCTGAAATATCTTCTGAAAAAAATTAATTTGATGCAGTATAAGATGGTTTTTGTCTCAGAAGTCAACAACATTAATAGTTAAACAAAATAAGCACAAATTGTTCAAGCTATGTGAGAACTTACAGATGATCCCACTTTCTAAGGACAAGGAGGCATCAGGGGGAGCCCTGAGCAAGGACTGGGCTGGCAGGGGCAGCGCTGGGACACAAAAGTCACCTTTGTGCATCAGACACAGACTGGTCACCTCACCGCAAGTTCGGATCAGACACCACCAGGGCCTGCTCTGTGAGCAGAAAAACTGCTTCAAGTCTGTCTAGTCACGAGCAAATCCTTCTCCCTGTCCTTGGGCCCCAAATGCCCCACTGATGACACAGGAAAATGCCTACTCTATCCAGCACCTTATGTAACTGGAATGGGAGGCCCTTTCAGAAAAAAACACAAAACGCCCCATGTCCTCAATGTAACAGAAGGTATAAGAGACAGAAAGCTGAAATGGAGAGAGAGAGTAGTCTCAGCTAATTACAATTTTTAAAAAACTAACTTTGCAAATTTACAAAATTATATGGTATACAGCTTGGACCTGTGGGTCCTTGGAAGGGATCAAGTGGTTGAGAGTCAAGCAGTTCTCTGAGGGTCGGTCAGCAGTCAGGGGCCACCATGCCCTAATAACAACACGGGGCCTGTTTGCGGTCAGGGCAGTGCTCATGTCCTAGCGACCACATGCAGGGCTCTGTCGGTGGTCAGCCTGACAGCCGTGGCCCAGGGACCACATGGAGTCTGCCGGCGGTAAGCATGGTGCTGTGTCCCAGGGTCAGAACTTCACTGCTCCGAAAGATGGTCCTACATTAATGACCCTGTGCAGAGACTCCAATGCCTCAGAAGTTTACCTACCATTTTACAGAGATGCATGTGCTAAGCAAGATTTCTACAGGGTCAGTGAATGGGAAACCAGTCTTCTTAAATTAGATGGTCAGAGGAGGCCCCTCTCAGAAGGCAACAGCTAGCAAACAGTGAAAACAAAACTCAGTTCCAAAGAGCTCTTTAAAAATGCTATGCAGGGACCATGCTCTTATGATAAGAGCTCTGTGATCTTCCTCCCCAAACCCACCACCCAGTGGATCATAAGGCAACATGAGACAAGGCCCAGCTCGGGAGAAGGCTGCAAAGCCTAACCACTGTCAAGACCATCAAAACAAGGGGAGTCTGAGAGTCCGTCACAGTCAAGCTGGGCCCAGGATGAGGCTCCAGAATGCCATCCGGGGTCCTGGCTAGGGTCCTGGAACAGTGAAACGTGAGGAAATCTGGACAGAACAAGGAGTTTATCGAGCAAAGATGTATAGACAGGTTCATTAGCTGTGACAACGAACAATGCTAATGTGAGCTGACAAGAACAGGGGAAACGGGGTGTAGGAGACTCGGGAGTACCCCCCACAACTCTTCCTCGAGTCTGAAACTATTCCAAAATTTAAAAGATTATTTTAAAGATACTGTGCAGGCAAACAGCAATTTGCAACTGCTCTTTCTGAAGGTGGAATCTTCCCACCTGCATCATTTCCAGCCCTTGAAGCCCAGGAGACTCTCCTCCTCCCCCAGTCCCAGCCTGGCCACCAAGGCCCTCAATCCGTCTACACTATACATTACAACAAAGGTCTCTGGAAAGTTCTTCTGGACTCTGGTTCTTAACAAACATTGGTCCACCGTTACTAGATCGCCACCTTCTGGCCACACATTTTACTAAAACAGGTCACTGAGGAGAGAAATACGTTTCTGAGATGTCCAAGTCATGGTTTCTATCTCCACTGTCTCTGCTGTTTCCCATACAGAAAAGTAAAAACAGAGGTGCTGACAGATGCGACAACAAGAAAGGTCACAGTGAGAAGTTAAGTTCTCATTACTGGGCTTGACAGGACCACTGTGAAGTTCCAAGCAAACAAGATATCCTCTTGCTTACTGAACTCAGCATGCTGGCTTCTTCCAAACGTGACTCCTCATGACCTGCATTCCTCCAAACCCACAGCTATAAGGTACACGTGCCTTGCTGGGCCAGGCAGCTTCACAAGGGGAGGATGGCGCTTCATGCTCAGTCCAGACTCAGACACACTGTAGGGATCCCACCCAGAAGCTAAAGTTAGCACTGAAATGAAAACCAATCTGTCACGGTGGATGTGGCTCAGCTCATTCCATATATATACAATCCGTTACTGGGATGGGTGAGGCCATAGTCCCCAGATATTCAATCCAACCCTAATCTAACTGTTGCTGGGAAGGTGTTTGTAGATGTGGTGAAAGCTCTCAATAAGTTAACTTTAGGGGAGCGGGTCTATGCTAGACAATCTGGTGGGCCTGGTTCAATCAGCTGAAAAACCTTAAAGGTATAATATCTGCAGCTTCCCTGAGAAGAAAGACATTCAGCCTCTGCTCAGCAGCCTCAGTTCGTGAGCAAGAGGTCCACTTTCCCCTTCCAGATGGGCGGCCCTACAAATCCGCACTTGCTTAGCTTCCTGCAGTCTGCTCACAGCTGCGGAGGCCCTGGTGCTCACTCCCTGCTCCTCTCTAGCCCCCTCTGTCACCTGTATGCTTAGAGTCAGAGCTTGTCATCCCACCTTCCTCGGGGCCTGCCCTCCATGACAGCAAGGCCCAGCAAGCTTGCACTCTTCTCACTTGCACAGTATGACTTTCTGTGCCACACAAGACATGTTCCCATCTGCCATCTCATTTGTAACGTTCTGAGCCATGCTCTCTCTCTGAAACCACCATGCCTAACAAGACCCACAAATCGAATGTGGTAGAGCTCCATGAGAAGGATGGTTTTCAGGACTACAGGTACCTGGCAACATACCTGGTACAGACGGACTCTTCAACAGCACTGTTAAAAGCAGCAGCCCACAGTGCTCTGCATCTGGTCCAGCAGCCAGGCCCTCCTCCCTCCTCTCACTGCTGAGGCTCCCCCAGAGGAGAACAGCAGTGATGAGGACTCAAAGGCTTGGGTTATCAGAGGAGCTGACCAGACTGAGCTCGCAGATGGCCTTTCCTGAAGGGTCCTTCTGGTCAGCATCTGACGTTGGCCAGTACAGTCTACCCTTTTTGGCCCTTTTATATAAACAGATTACATATTGGAATCAATCACTTAAGAGGAAAAGGAAATGAAAGGAACTGGAACAGTAGCAAACATGCCTCTTACAAACAAACTCTAATAAGAAAAGATTATTACTTATTAGAAAAATCGCTATAACAAGAAAGTGATGTCACCTGTAATGTTAGCATTAGAAAATACAAGAATATTTTATGACTTTAGGATTTCTTAAGAAGGGCTCAAAAATAAACATAAGGGGAAAAGTGGTGGATCTGACCACAGCAAAATTAGAGGTTTCTTTCTGTAATGGAGGCTGACAGTCTGGGAGAAGTATTTGTAGCTTCTAAATCAATGAGGGATGAGTATCTAGAATGAATAATGAACCCCTATAATTATATCAAAGAGAAAAAAAAAAAAGCCTAGTAGAAAAACAAAAACAGAACGAGCAAACCACAGAGAAAAATCTGCGAGACCAAAAAGCAACTAAAAAGTGTCTGATATTTCATATCACAATCAAAAAAATAAAAATACCATCAAGATACCACTTGACACCCTCACATCCACATGTCCTGCCACATACACTGGACCCTGGGGCCAAACTCAGCTATACCCTCCACACCCCAAAGAGACCTGCAAGAGGATACTGCAGCCACACTGCCAAGAAAAGCAAAGGTTTCACAATCTTTGTAGATGCTAAAAAATCACACAAAAACTATGCTGCATGATTATCAAAAATTCTGATATCCAAACACACATCTGGAAAGTGGGCTTGGAAGATCTCAACTAAGTGCCAAGAAAACCAAGAGTGATGCAGGGTCTTGGGTGGAGACACACCAGAGCAGGTGGAGATGATGCTAGGTAGGACTCTGAAGTGTTGGTTCTCAAATCAAACAGAAGAAAGAGGTGAAAACATCTAACTTGGGAGCTTTCCTTCTTCTAAAAGTGTCACCAAAACCTTTCTGACCTACTTGGAAACCACAGCTCTAAAGGAAATGATAAAACTGAGTGATCTGATATTGAGAGGGTAAATACTAAGAAAAGTGGTCTGAAAATATTTTTATTTATAAGCAGATGGGCAGTTGCTAGTGAGCTGAAACCAGCAGTTGCTATATGTGATGCATCATGGTAAGTATGCACCACGGGTGTGCTGAGTTTGACTGTAACTTTACAGGTTCTGTGCACAGACTCTTTTGACGATCACTCACCTGCGTGCCAGACTGAATAGCCCTTCTCTGCTAGGGAAGAGGTTTCAGTGCTTCTGAGCATCATGGCGACTTCTAATAACTCAATCTTCTTGCTGAACTGTACTTCCAAAATGGGGATAACCTCTGGCATCTTGGCAGATATCAAATGATAAGTTATGTCTGGCTTCCCAATGAACCGCTGGCGGATGCTAATTTCATAAGGTGTGTGGACCTTGATGTCATCTACATCTTCCCTTTCGAATCTGTGCATGAGCAGAGAATCTGAGTTGTAGATTTCCAACCCAGAAACAAGGACAGTGAGCCTTCCTGGTTTAACATGAGATTCTGTTCTTTGGGAAATAACAGCAGGAACTTGGATCACTATCCCTTCTTTTCCAAAAGCTTTGGAATTAGCCACTGAGGTGTCCCACTTGGGCTTTGTTTCCGGTGGCGCCTTCCAAAGCTTGGAGCTAAAGGGCCACCAAGAAGGAGACTCCAGTTCGGTCAGCAACCTAAAAAAGCAAACAAAACACAGAAAGTAGACAATCGGTTCTTAATTTTTTTTTTTTTTTGGAAAATTGATTTGACCTTTATAAAGAATGTTACCATTTTATAGTTTTCTTTTCCACAAGCACTCCAAGAAGCAGTAAAAACAGGAATTATTATCCTCATGTTTTAAAAAAAACTGAGGCTAAGAGCAGTGGGACATTTGTCTACAGATACAAAGATCACCAGGAGTAGACACGCAAGAACATTTTCTCACTGGAATACTGCTCTTTTCACACTTGACCTGCAGTAGTTTTGACCAAAACAAATCCTGATCATAACCTTTAGAGAGCCATCTAATAGAACTTTCTGCAGTAATCTGTATCGCTTAATCCAGTAATGGAGACACGTGGCCACTGGGCACCTGAAATATAGCTAACGCAAGGATGAACTGAGTTTTAAACTTAAGTTTAATGTGGCTAGTGGCTATCTTATTGGAGAACACAGCTCTAATTTAACCACTAATACATCAAGAGATATATCTAAAAAGTCAGTAAGAAAGGAAAACAGTGGAAGCAAGGAAGGAAAAGCAAAGGAACAAAAGAGCAAATCAAATACACAGGATACAAATAACGAGATAGAAGAATTATCACAGCCATATTAGTAATCATACCAAATGTAAGTGGACTAAATTCTCTAACTAAAAGGCACATGGTCAGTCTAAATAAAACACACTTATATCTTGTTGACAAGAAGCAACGTGAAATACAAAGACACACGACAGACTGAAAGTAAAGGGACTGGAAAAGTAAAATAAAAAAATAACATGCCAAAAATAAACTTTAAGACAAAAAATGTTACTGGGAAAAGAGGGACAATGCACAATAATAAAAGGGTCAATCTAAAAAAAAAGACTTGATGACAGTAAATATGCATGCATCTAAAAACAGAACTTCAAGATTCATTAAGCAAAACCTGACAAAACTAAAAGTAGCTGCAGGTTTTAACAAATTTCTCTCCATAACCGATAAAGCAAGAAGAAAAGATAATTAGTAAGAATATAGAAATTTTGAACAATATTATTCAAGCACCTCAACTGATACCTCCAAATGCTGAATGCACTCTCTGAAGTATATTCAAAACATAAACAATAACAACAAAAACAATATATTATATAACGGAGTGGTCAAGATGGCACAGAATGAACACCTTCACTTCCTCTCACAGGTAAACCAAAATTATGACTACTTACAGAGGAACTATCAATGAGAAGGACCTGAAGACTAGCAGAAAAGATTTCTCAAAACTAAGGATATCAAGAAGGAACTACAATGAGATGGGTAGGAGCGGTGGAGTTGCAGTATAGTTAAAACCCACATCCCCAAGTAGGTGACATACAAAAGGGTGGGCAATCACAATTGCAGAGGTTCTCCCCAACAAGCAAGGGGCCCAAGCTCCATACTGGGCTCCCCAGCCCCGGGGTATTACACTGGAAGGTAAGCTCCATAACAACTGACTTGGAAAGTCGGCCAGTCTTGTCTAAGAGCTAGAGGGCTCCAGGAAAAGAGAAAGCTTCTCTTAAATGACACAAAGTATCACATTGTGTCTAGATCAGAGCTACCTGTTACACTTGCAGAAGCCTGCCAGGGCGGTGGGAGGCGCCAGAACTCTCCCTGGGGACACAGATGCTGGCGGCAGCCATTTACGGGAGCTATTTAGGTTCTGTCATGAGGATGCTGATGCTGGCAAGTGCATCAGTGGATGCACTGCTTTGGAGTCTAAACTATCCGCACTGGAACACGCTCTACCCACCAGCAGGTGGCCAACAGGCCTGGGACTTCCCACGCTGCCCAGCCGTGACCCTGACGACCAGCAGAGCTGCAGCCAGCCACACAGGAACGGGGCACCACCCACCAATGGGAAAGAATCAGCTCTGGGACCCCAGGCCGGACAGGCAGCTATACTGGAACAGGTTCTGCTCATCAGGCAGGCACCAGCCCTAGGAGTTTCAAGGTCCCTGCTTCCCATACTGGCAAGCCAGCACCAGTACTGGACTTGCCAGCTCTTGCAGACAGGAGTCCAAGACTGGTAGGCTCCAAAGTCAACTATACTGGGACCAGACACCACCCACCAGGAAACTAAAATATTTGAAGTGAATGAAACTAAAAACATGATATACAAAAATACAGTGGAATGCAAACAGAGCAGCCATGAGAGGGAAATTAATCTCTCTCAATGCATATATTTGAAAACCTCTTGTTGTTATTCAGTTGCTCAGTCATGTCTGGCTTTTTGAGATCCCACAGACTGCAGCACACCACCAGGCTTCTCCGTCCTTCACTATCTCCTGGAGTTTGCTCAAACTCACGGTCATTGAATTGGTGATGCTATCCAACCATCTCTTCCTCTGCTGCCCCCTTCTCCTCCTGACCTCAATCTTTCCGAGCATTAGGGTCTTTTCCAGTGAGTCGACTCTTCTCACCAGGTGGTCAAAATATTGTAGCTTCAGCTTCAGCATCAGTCCTTCCAATGAATATTCGGGGCTGACTTCCTTTAGAATGGACTGGTTGGATCTCCTTGCAGTCCAAGGGACTCTCAAGAGTCTTCTCCAGCACCACAATTAAAAATGATCAGTTCTTTGATGCTCAGCCTTCTTCATGCTCCAACTCTCACATCCAAGGATGTCTACTGGAAAAACCATAGCTTTGACTATACAGACCTTTGTTGGCAAAGTGATATCTCTGCTCTTCACTCACTAGGTTTGTCACAGCTGTCCTTTCAAGGAAGGAACAAGCATCTTTTAATTTCATGGCTGCAGTCATGGTCCGCAGTGATTTTTGGAGCCCAAGAAAAGAAAATCTGTCACTGTTTCCACTCTTTCCCCTTCTATTTGCCATGAAGTGATGGGATCAGACACCATGATCTTAGTTTTTTGAATGCTGAGTTTTAAGCCAGCTTTTTTACTCTCCTCTTTCACCCTCATCAAGAGGCTCTTTAGTTCCTCTTCACTTTCTGCCATTAGAGTGGTATCATCTGCCTATCTGGGGTTGTTGCTAATTCTCTCAGCAATCTTGGTTCCAGCTTGTGATTCATCCCAGCCTGCCATTTTGCACAACGTACTCTGTATCTAAGTTAAATAAGCTGGGTGACAATATTCAGCCTTGACACACTCCTTTTCCAAGTTCGAACCAGTCTGTTGTTCCATGTCCAGTTCTGACTATTGCTTTTTCATCTGCATATAGGTTTCTCAGGAGACAGGTAAGGTGGCCTGGTATTCTCATCTCTTTAAGAGTTTTCCACAGTTTGTTGTCACCTACGCAGTCAAAGGCTTTAGCATCGTCAATGAAGCAGAAGCAGAGGTTTTCCTGGAATTCCCTTGCTTTCTCTATGATCCAACAAATGTAGGCAATTTGATCTCTGTTTCCTCTGCCTTTTCTAAATCCAGCTTATACATCTGGAAGTTACCAGTTCATATACTATTGAAAGCTAGCTTGAAGGATTTTGAGCATGACCTTGTTAGCATGTGAAATGAGCACAATTGTATGGTTTGAACATTCTTTGGCGTTGCCCTTTTTTGGGACTGGAATGAAAACTGACCTTTTCTAGTCCTGTGGCCATTGCTGAGTTTTCCAAATTTGCTGACATATTGAGTGCAGCACTTTAATAGCACTATCTTTTAGGATTTTAAATAATTAAGCTAGAATTCCACCACTCCCACTAGCTTTGTTCGTAGTGATGCCTCCTAAGACCCACTGGACTTTACAGTCCAGGATGTCTAGCTCTACGTGAGTGATCACACCATGGTTATCCAGGTCATTAAGACCTATTTTGTATAATTCTTCTGTGTATTCTTGCCACTTCTTTTTAATCTCCTCTGTTTTTGTTAGGTCTTTGATGTTTCTGTCCTTTATCATGCTTATCCATCTCTGCACGAAATGTTCCCTGATATCTCCAATTTCTTGGAAGAGATCCCTAGTCTTTTTCATTCTGTTGTTTTCCTCTATTTCTTTGCATTGTTCACTTAAGAAGGCTTTCTTATCTCTCCTTCATATTCTCTGGAACTCTGCATTCAGTTGGGTGTATCTTTCCTTTTCTCCCTTGCCTTTCACCTCTCTTCTTTTCTCAGCTATTTGTAAAGCCTCCTCAGACCACCACTTTGCCTTCTTGCATTTCTTTTTCATTGGGATGGTTTTGATCAACACGTCCTGTACAATGCTAGGAACCCTCCACCCATAGCTCGTCAGGCACTCTGTCTACCAGATCTAACCCCTGAATCTATTCGTCACCTCCACTGTATAATCATAAGGGATTTGATTTAGGCCAGACCTGAATGGCCTAGTGGTTTTTTCCCTATTTTCTTCAATTTAAGCCTGAATTTTGCAATCAGGAGATCATGAAAACTTCCTAGGAAGGTTTAAAATCAGTGGTCTAAGCCTCTACCTCAAAAAGTTATAAATTATACACAGAGAAAGTAGAAGGAAAAGTAGGAAACAATGAAAAGGAAAATAGAAAAATTACAAAATATTATCTTTGAAGTAATTTTAAAAATTAAACCCCTAGCAAGAAATAATAAAGAAAAAACTGAACAAGAGAGGGAATAAACAACCTGAAAAATAAAAATATGCTTAAATAATTGTATATTCATCAATTATTACATTGTTAAGATGGCAAAACTCTCCTAAAATGACATATCCAACCCAATTACTATCAAAAGCCCAACTGGTTTTTATTTAGAAACGGGCTAGCTGATCCTAAAATTCACATGAAAATGCAAGGGACCCAGAATAGCCAACAATCTTGAAAAAGAAGAACAAAGTTAAGACTCTTATTATCTGATTGCAAAACTTACTACAAAGCTACAGAAATGAAGATGGTGTAGTGCTGGTGTAAAGTTATGTATATGGATCAATGAAATAGAATTCAGAGTTCAGAAACAAACCTTGACATTTATGGGCAATTGATTATCAACAAGGGTGACAAGACAATTCAATGGGGAAATGAGTCTTTTCAACAAATGTTGCTGATA